GGCAGTGGGAATCCTGGGACCAGGCACCACAACCACAGGAGAATCGGGCCCAGGGAGAGGCCAAGACAGGATAGGCCTTCATAGGGCAAACAAAACTGGCCGGCTCCGTGGCGGAGGCCTGCAGCGAGCCATGACCTGGACTACCTTCCGACAGAACTCGTTGCGACCTCCACAAAGTGCGACGCACCGCATTCCCGAGGCCCCCTCGGCCTCGGTAGCTGACATCACGAGCGCGGAGGGAACGACGGAAGAAGGGCCGACGAGCCATTGGAGATGTGTGAAACGCATGATTAGTGCCGCCCCCCCTGCATCTAGGCGGTGGCCTGCGCGGGGGGGGGTTCGCCTTCTGAATCTGCTGCAGCTGCGAGCGCCGCGTCGGCGCGAGCCTTGAGCTCCGCAGGGGAAAGATCGCGCACAGGCTCTGAAGGCTGGCTCTGGGCCTTAGGCGCCTTCGCTGATGATGCAGCTCCGCCTGGCGAAACTGCCCCACCGCTGGGCGCTGCCGAGGCTGCTGCTGCTGCTGCAGCGCCGTCGCCAGCACCAGTTGCGCATTCGGCCTCTCCTGCAGGTGCTGCTGGTTGGGCTGCTGCAGGAACGTCGCCCTGGCGACGTCTCTTGGCCGCGAAGCGCCGCGAATGCTTTTCGTGACCTGCACGTGCCTTCCTAGCTTGGTCACTGACCTGCTTGAACAGCGTGGCGCAGAGGTGCTTCACTCCGTCGGCCAGCTGCTTGGAACGACGGTCGACCTCCTCACGATCTTGCGGTGAGACTTCGTACTCCGTGTCGTCGACATTGAGAAAACCCACGTCGATGGTGAGCACGTCGTCGACTTTCCCGTCCAAGATGTCCTTAACTGAGAGAACTGCACAACCATAAGCGTGCTCACGAGCAAACTTACCAATGAGAGAATTGCGTGTGTGTCTTCCACCGTCTGGAACTCCTTTCGCAAGGAAGCGACCTCATCACGTTGACGACGGAAAGCGCTTTCCTGTTCCTCGTACTTGATGAGAGCTACCTGAAGCCGCTTCTCCGTCTGCCTGGGCGCGCTGTGCGCAGAAGTGGCCTGGAACTGCAGGGACTGCGTGGAAAAAGGCATGAGTCGATCCTGTGCCACGGCTCGATACCGAGCACCTCCTTCGGCATCCCCTCATTTCTCGAGGAGCAAAGCAAGTTGATCAATTTCATCAGGAGACAACCCGTCCAAAGCAAGAGCAGACTTGTCCTTGGTGGGCGTACCATCCTTGGTAATAACATATGTATATACATATATATATATATATATATATATATATCCATTCGCATGTCGGTGGCCATGGCGACTTACAGTGCTTGCACCTTGTCCACGACGCCGAGTTCTTCTTACACCCGCACTGGCAGCAAACCCATCGACCCTGGACCAACTGTTGCTGGCCACCACCTCCTTTACCGTAACCTTTTCCTGACCACCTGCACCAGGTTGAAGTCCAGGCTGAAGGGGAGGCACAGATGTGGGCCGACGGGAGCGATTCCAGCGGTTGACAAACCCGCCAGAACGAACACCACCGCGACCAGCCATGGCGGCGCCGGAAGACGGGAAATGGTTCCGTGCCTGGGGGGATGGCTCGCTATCGCACGGCCTTTCCGAACAGTTCGCGACAGCAAAGGCCTGGGCCTTGAGCCAAAATGGCTTGAGCCAAAATGGCTACGGAGAAGGGGAAGGGGGAGGTGGAGGGGGAGGGGGAAGGGGAAGAGGAGGAGGAGGAGGAGCAGGAGGAGGAGGAGGAGGAGCAGGAGGAGGAGCAGGAGGAGGAGGAGGAGGAGGAGGAGGAGGAGGAGGAGGAAGAGGAGGAGATGAATTCAGATCGCGTTCGCGAATGGACCACACTCCGGGGCTCTCGCCCTGGCGCCGCGCACACTCGGCTTCCACACTGTCCTCGGCTGCGCGAGCGGGTGGCGAGTCCTTCTCGAAGCCAGCGGGCCATTGGACAAGGAGCCCTTGGACAAAGTAGCCTCCAAGGTCTGGAATCTGGTGGAACCCCAATCGTGGATCGGCCATGGACACCACCGCCGCCCACACCAGATCAGGGCCCCCAGGGTCTGCAGCCCCCCGGGCACATTCATCAACGATCGCCCCCACCGGATTGGAGTCTCACCTTGGCCTCGCGCACATTCGAATACAGAATCAAACATCTATATTCACGTGGCCCTTCATCGACCTCTACGACCCGGCGTTCCATATTGTGCAATAACTGACACGGGTGGACGACGGCTCCTCCTTCGAAACGGAGCTCTCGCGCGAGACTTCCGCGAACCCTGCGTCCACGGCCTTGACATCTTGCAACGCTCGGACGGATGGAGGGCATGTTCCTCTCAAAATGAGGCTACCCCTGTGCGTCCTTGAAGGGCTCTCGCGTGGGACTTCGGCGGAGCATGCAACCACGACTTTGACATCCTGCAACGCTTAGACGGATGGAGGGCACGTGCTTCTCAAAATGGGGCTACCATGGGCGTCCTGCAAATGGCGGGAGCATCCTGTACAACAGGCGTCACCGTCTGACTGGCAGATCGACCAGCCGAATGCCATTCAAGGGGAGCACCCGCAGTGGAAGAGAAACACTGTATGGACTTATGAGGGGATTTGGGACGGGAGGATGTATTGCAGCATTTGTTGATGCATATGTGCTTTGCTCTGGTCCTCCTCCTTCTCCTCCCCCTTCTCCTCCCCCTCCTCGTCCTGTTCCTCCTCCTCCTCCTCCACCTCCTCCTCCTCTCCTCCTCCTCCTCCTCCTCATCCTCCTTCTTCTTCTTCTTCTTATTATTATTCTTCTTATTTATCTTCTTCTTCTTCTTCTTCTTCTCCTCATCCTCCTCCTTTCTTCCTCCTCCTCCTCCTCCTCCATTTCTTCATGCCCCCCCTCCCCATCCTCCCCTTCCTCCTCCTGCTCCTGCTCCTGCTCCTCCTCCTCCATTTCTTCATGCCCCCCTTCCCCATCCTCCCCTTCCTCCTCCTGCTCCTGCTCCCTGCTCCTGCTCCCTCCTTCTCCTCCTTTCCTCCTCCTCCTCCTCCTCCTCCTCCTCCTCCTCCTCCTCCTCCTCTTGCCTACCTAAAGGGCGATGTTTATTCATACATGTTCCCTTTTCTATATGTTTACAATCCTGGGGGGTGGGACCCCCCCCCCCCCCCGAAAATCGGACCCCCGGGATCTGGCGCTTTTGGGGCCCCCTGGACGCCTTGCAAGGGGTCCCCCGGGCCTTCCGGGCCTCCTGGACGCCCCTGCCGGGCCTTGCCAGCGGGCCCAAAGCGGTCAGGAGGGCGGCCAAACGGCCCCGCGAGAGCCCCACGCGGCCCCAGACAGCCCCAAGACGCCCGAAGACGACCCAAAGAAGACCCCCAAGAGGTCCTCCAAGTGCAAAAAAACAACACTTTCCTTTCCTTTTTTTTTAAAAAAAAAAAAATGTTTGGACATTCGGTTCCTCGGTATTCCGTGCATCCGAGTCCGCCGAAGAGGCCCCCAAAATCCTCCCACAACGGTGTCCAAGGGCTTCCAGACAGTCCAAAAGAGCCCCAATATGGTCCAACAGGGCCGCAAGATGGCCCCAAGAGAGCCCCGCTGACAGCCCCAGATGGCCCCAAGACGCCTCCCGAAGCACTCCAAATCGTGACCCGGTCGTTCAGGGAGACCGTGATTGGTAGCAAGGTGGCCGCAAGAAGCCCCCAGAGGCCCCCAAAAGGTGGCCAGGAGGCCCCCAGAGGTCCCCAAAAAGCTTTTGAGAGGGGCCCAGGAACACCTCCAAAGAGGAGCCCCTGCAATAAAAACTGGGGATGAGGACAAGGAGTGGCTCGCACACAAGGAAGATTACGAGTAAGAGGAGAGGAAGTAGAAGGATAGTACATAACATTACTATAACGACGATGGCGCAAACGGCAACAATGAATCATCGCTATATTTGGCTCTCCTGCATGCCGAGCTTCAATAACCAAGGTGCATGGCGCGAAGCGCCAATACAGTCTTGTATATATATATATATATATATATATATATATATATATATATATACTGCGTTGTACAAGGTGGCCTCCCAGACGACTCAAGTCGGCGACTCGAGGCCAGACGTGAGATTAAAGGCGAAGCCCAGCGATATCACTTTTTCCAGCCGATTGTTGCCACACAACAAACTTCACAACAGGACGAAGCACGAGCGAGCTGGCACCGTTGCTGCACACACTGAGCGCCGGAAGGAAATTCGAATACCCACTTTCAATAGGCAGAGCAGAGAGGCAGCAAAATAGTCCAGCCGGCTGGATCGTGCAAAAGCCCCCAAGGGTGGGAAGGACTGGGAAGACTTGAGCCAAAGCGCCCACGGAGCGGAAAAGGGCGCATTGCAGAACGTTCAACACTCACGGGAGGCCTATGAGGCGACAGCACTACAGACGTTGAGAACATTGTAATAGCACTGCGTTGTACAAGGTGGCCTCCCAGACGACTCAAGTCGGCGACTCGAGGCCAGACGTGAGATTAAAGGCGAAGCCCAGCGATATCACTTTTTCCAGCCGATTGTTGCCGCACAACAAACTTCACAACAGGACGAAGCACGAGCGAGCTGGCACCGTCGCTGCGCACACTGAGCGCCGGAAGGAAATTCGAAGACCCACTTTCAATAGGCAGAGCAGAGAGGCAGCAAAATAGTCCAGCCGGCTGGATCGTGCAAAAGCCCCTATCCCATATGTGGTTCAAGGGTCAGGGAGGGCGGGTATTCAGGATGCGAGCAAGCGAGCGGTCGAGCAGAGCCGGAAGAGCAGCGGCAGCGCGGTTACCGTCGCGCTGCTGCTGCGTTGACAATTTATTGACCCGGCGAAGAAGCTTGCCTTCTTTACCATAGCGGGCGACAGACCTATCCGAGAGCCAGTGCCCTCGGCGATTGATGAGCTCAAGACTGCCACGCTTTTCCAAGAAATCTACTGACGGGCCGCCATGGCGAACGGTGTGCGGACACAGGCGGAGCGTTTGCAACGACAGCGCCTGAGAGCCACGGCGGAACAGCGCTTCGTATGTCGGCAAATCAAGGCCCGCAAATAGCGAGCTCAGCTTCAACCGCTTGGCTCGAGCCATGAGCCGCTCCAGCGCGGTCCTGATCCAGGCGCGCTCAGGGCTCATCCCGCCCACGATCACTGTGTCATCGTAATGCTGGTTCTTGGCTGGTTTGCGCCCAAGCCCGCTCGGTGCCACGATGACGGCGAGCTGGTTGTAGCGGCGGTTGGCGGCGCTGGAGCCCGAGACAATGTGATCCAGCGTCGGGGCCAGCGTCGCGGATGGCCGTCCATAGACGCCGAACTGCACCACGGCGCACGCAGCAGCCAGGGCGCCGGCGAGGTTCCCGAGCCCGATGAACCAGGTTGCCAGCAGCGCGAGCGCCTCCCACGGGCAAGGATCGCGACTGGACTCGGGTGCGCGCTTGAGCCAACCAGCGAGCGCCTTCACGGCGTGCGGGAAAGTGTCCTTGGGCCGCGGGAAGCGGTGGACGTGCGCAAACCCATGCAGAGCCTGCCGCCCCTCCCACGGCTCGCATCCACCCAGGTAAAGGTAGTCGAAGTACGCCGAGAGCGAGAGGTCGACAGCGGCGGGAGAGGCTGGGCCAGCACAGCGGTTGGCCTCGGCGGCCCACTCCACGAAAGAGGCCTCCGAGAGACGATGCTGCCTAGCCACAGTCGCCGACGCGGTGGAGCGCTCCAAGTAGCCATCGCTCGGGGTCTCACCCGCGACCCGGCGCCTAGCAGCCCGCCGCAGAGCACGCCGCCGCTCCACACCCGCACGAGACGCTTCGAGGTCGGTCTCGACCTCGACGCGGCCCGATCCAGCGGCGCTCGCCGCCCCAGGTGCTGGCAGCGCGGCCCCGCGGCGACTGGAAGGCGCGTGGGCAACGCGGGATCCACGGCTCGGCGGGGAGCGGCTTCTTGGTGGCTCCTGCCATGAGAGACTCCCACCACTCCAGATCAGAGGCATGTAGGGTACTGGCCGGCGCGATCCTCCTCAAAATTTGAGCATGGGCCCTGCAGGGACGGGGAGGATACAGCCCAGCCAGCGTGGCACGCCCAAGTCGACTTCCCACCGATGGCAATCTTTACCTTCCCAGACAAGTGCTCATGATAGTGATTTCCAAGACACAACCGACTTAACTGCTTCATTTCGGGGATGTTGGTGGCGATGCAGGTCGGCTTCATGTAGTTAGCTCCATAGGCGCAATTATCATATCGAACGAAGTGGGCTCCAGCACGATCGAGCTCACGACGAATAGGCTCCCAACGAAACAATCCCGACGATCTCGGATTTTCGAGTGTGAACAGCACCCCATGTTGACGACACAGCCTCAGAAGAGATCTAGTAAAGGTAGCCAACGACGTACCCCAGTTGGTCGACGAAGTCCCAGTACGGCGAGCCACGCTCCAGACGGTGCAGGGGGTAGCCAGGTGAAGGGCCCAGACTCTTCCACGACGGATCTGGTTTTTCAAGAAACGCTGAAGCCGTTGATCTCCCAGATCATGATGAGGGCCTCGGCGGATCTCGATGGGCATCCCGATTTCCAGACCCTCGTCTCTCACAGCAGCCGAAAGTGTAGCACGTCCAGCAAACACTTCGAGGAAGACGGGCCGAGAACGACGACGATCAGGTGCAACATGGCTGGCATCCTTTTTCGGACTGGAACTGGTTCGCTCACAACTGGCGGGCGACAGGCGGGGCCCACACCGCCCCAGCCGGCGGCTGGCGATGGGCGGCGGTGCCGCGGCGCGCACTCGACGGCTCGGCGCCGCCCGAACTGGCGCCGCCGCGGAGTCATGACCGCTGCGCAAAAGAGCTCGCCCAGCTCGACCGAGCTGAGCCTCGCCAGCGCCGACCTCTCCTCGATCGGCGGCACGCGAATCCTCGTCAGTGGGGTTCCTCTTGGTCTCCAGGTAGCGCTGGGTCCAAATCAGGCCACACGCAATTGTCAAAGCCCCGGCCCTCTGACAGAGACGATGGAGGCAGTGCGACTTCGCCCTGCCCTTCTCGAAGCTGCAGATGCAGGCCAGGTTGTCGCCGATACTCAACAGCCGACGTCCGTGGAATCGAACCTCTCGACTGGCTCGGACAAGGCCCATCAGCATCACAAAAAACCCTCCTTCTCGTGGATCGCAGTGTCGTACTTCCAGCCCCCGCGTACCACGCGTCGCCACCGCGCCGGGTCCACCAGCGCGTCAGGCAGCGCTGGGATGCCGACCACCGAAGCGGGACGCTCGATCTCGTCAAGCTGCCGCCAGGGTCGGCGCCGTCCCTGAGAGGCGCCGCCCCCCGACTCCAGGTGCTCCAGCTGCGGGCTTGCGCCGGTCCCATACTGAGCACGCCAAGCGGCGGCCCAGGGCAACGCAGGCCCCCAACCAGCAGACTCCCGCTCAACAAGGTCGAAACGCCAGCGCTCACGGTAGGCGGCCACCTCGCGGTACTCGGCGTCGGAGATCTCCGCGACGTGCAGCGCATAGCCCTTGCTGGAAGCATCCCCGCAGAAGGCCACAGGCGCCGGCTCCGAGCCCAGGTCGACGCCGGCCATGAAGACAAGCCAGCCAGCGACCTCGAGCTCCCAGCGAATCGAGTCCCAGAGCTCCGCCTCGTCGTCGTAGTGCTCCCCGATGAAGGCCCAGACCTTGTCGAGACTCGCTAGGGCGGCCCTGACCAGCTGGAAGTGGTGAACGAGGTGACCTACGAGGATCTGGACCACGCGGCCGCTGGCGAAGCCCCTCCTGATCACCTCCTGCAAGGCCAGGTGGAGCCGCCAGGTGCGTCGCGGTAGAGGCCGGATCTGTCGTCGGACGCCATCGAACACGACTCCCAGTAGTTGGAGCTCTGGCGAGGCTGCGTTCTCCTCATGGAAGTCTAGGTGCTTCGCGTCGAAGTCCCGCTTCACGTGCTCCAGGGCCCGCTGCGTCGACTCGGCGGTGATCCCGATGACGTTGGCGTTGTCGACGTAGGGAAGCCGAACAGCCAAGCTGGGCGTCGGCGTCGGTGCCGCGTGCCTGTCCTCGACGACCACGCTGCTGTCCCCGCCGGCGGCTGAGGTAGTGGCGTGGCAGAAGTACAGGGCCCAGCTCCAGCCCATGGCCATCCCCTCGAAGACGGGGAAGACGGGGGTGTCCGCGGAGACGCTCAGGTAGGAGCCCGTCGCCTTACAGTAGACCTCAGAGATACCCCAGTAGTCGGCCCTGGCCGCAAAGTCAATGCCGACCAGCGAGCCCATGCGGCGGTTCCGAAACTGGTAGAACCCGTTGTACAGGTCGACGCTTCCCGCGGACGGCTGCACCCAGCTGAGGTCGCCGTCGCCTTGACTTGCGGCCCTGATCGCTCAGTCTGAAAGGTCAACGCCAGTCAGCGCGGTCACAGTGCCAAGCCAAGAGTGGGGAGGACGCCGACACCAATGCGTGCTCGAATTGAGGTGCGGAACCCGACGAGCCCCAACTCCGCGAGCCGAAAGATAAGACGCCGACGCTCAGAGGTGTCGAAGCGCAACTTCGGGTCCCAGTACGGCGCGAAGGCTCCGGAGTCAAACTCAAGCTCAGACGAGTCCCTCAAAATCTGGCCCTCTGGGTCTGCCAACATAACCCGCTGATCAGGAGGCAGCAGGTCTTCCATGTCCTTGACAGACACGCCAGCCGAGAGCACCTCTACCCGTTCGAAGTCGAATCTCCCGAGGTGGCTCGGCTCCACGGTGTACAAGTCTTTCACGCGCAGAAGCTCCTGGAGGGCTTCGTGCGGCTTGAGGTCGGCTGGAGCATCTCCAGCACTTGAAACTAGCCGCCCAACTCGCTGGCGCACGGAGTCCTGCGTTCCAGTGAGAGGCGGCCGAAAGGCTGAGTGTAGTCCCTCATCAGCGCGACGAAAGGGACGCGACGGGCCCTCCTGCAGCGCGTTGAGAGCGCCAAGAACGGAGTTCACCCGCCGCTCGCGATACCACCGACGCCGAAGCCGCTGCTGTAGATAACGTCGGTGGTCACGTAGGGCGTCAAGCCGTCCTTGAGGAGGTGCCACAACTGGCAGCGGGTCACCGTGCTGTCGGCGCCCGAGCTGCGAGCCCGAAAAAGCCCCCTGGATCCTCTGCGGTGCGCCTCTCGGGCTGCGAGGCGCCGCATCACCAGAGGATCATGCATTATACTTCTTGTCGCCGGCATTGGGACCGTGCTCCGACTTCCCGCCGGCCTTGCCGCCCCTCTGCCGCTTGTCGTCGGCCGCGCGCTCCTCGCGCCACAACCTCTGCTGCTTCAACAAGAAGCCCTCGTCCTTCTGCCTCTCCGCGATCCACCTGGTGAACTCCCGAGTCATCACCTCTCCGCCTGGCCCGATCGGCGTCGCCATCACCATGTCGAGCCCGTCGAAGTCCGGCGCTTTCGGGTTGCGCCGAACTGCACTCTCGATTTGGATCAATCGCCTGGCGGCCAGCTCAGCCGAGATGAGGTTGCTGATGTCCAACTGATCGGTCGTGGGCATGAGGTAGAGCCAGGAGCTCACGAACTTGTGCTCACGGGCCACGGCGCCCTTCGGCGCGACCCCGCTCTTCGCCTCCCAGTCCAGGTTGTGCGTCGCGAAGTTGAACCCGACCCGCGTGAGCCCCTCCGCGTACTCCTCCAGTGCAGGCGGCCCGTCTAGGGCCGGCAGGGGCTGCTTCACCCGGCGCATCATCTTGAGCGCGGTCTCGGCATCCAAGAACCTCTGAGACGACTTGCCCCTCGAGTCGGCCAGCAGCCGAGGGTCGCGACCCGGCCACACTCGCTTCTCTCTGAGCCAAGCCTCGTGCTCAGAAGGGGCGACCTTCTCGGCGAAGGTCCACTTCCCGTCGAGCCTGAGGAGAGCGGCGCCCCCCTTGATCACGGATGCCTCCTGGTCCCGCATCCGACAGGGACCTCCTCCCCGAAAGCAGGAGACGCTGGGTCGGCGACTCGCCAGGCCGCCTCCTGAGCCGGAGCGGCGCCGCCACCCTGAACTTGCACCGCCGACAGGTCAAACCCGGCGATCTCGGCCAGCTTAAGGGCCTCAGCTCGAGCGCGGGCCAGCTCCGCATCTGATGCGTTCGGGTCGAACAGGAAAGCCTCCGGCAGGTAGTCCCGCTCCACTGGCATTCCTCGTCGCAGCACGCGGATGTGGTGCCTCGAGAGGTCGGCCAACTGGATGCTCCACGTCGGGGTCGCCACCACCCACCGTCCATCACCTCCTTTGATAAGAAGTACTCGGTGATGCCAACGAAGCCCGTTGGCATCATCATCAAAATCGATGAGCACCTGTTTCTCTGGAATATCCAGGGCTCGGTGTGCGGCAGCTGCTGCAGCCGCCATTGCTAGCGCTCAAGAGCTGCGAGGGTGGCGGGCGTGAAGGGCCCGAGAGACCTCTTCCCGCCTGTCGAGGTAGTCTCTGACGTTGTCCCGGCCGAGCGTCTACACCACGAGGATGCACGGCCCACGAGGAAACCCACGAACCCAACAATTGGGAGGGCGGCAACCAGCACGAGAATGAGGAACCAAGGGAAGGGCGCACACGGCTCGATCTCACACGTCGGGCACTTGCTACCAGCTGCGTGTCGCACCTGCTCGTAAGAAAGATCTCGTATCACCTCCAGATGACTGCTGCACTCCGCGCTTGGGCAAGAGACCGAGACTTCTGGGCACTGGCACGTGCACGTGGTCGGCTCTGGCCGACTCCAGTAGCTGAAGATATCGCGAGCTATGACCCACGCGAAGTGTGCCTTCTCTGAACTGCTCATGTGGCGGCGCGAGCCGCAAATTAAGACTTCCACCATACCACAAATCCATCATTGATCGCTTGCTCCTTCTCATCATCATCCTCTTCAATCCTCCTCTTCCTTCTCCTCCACACATGATCATATCTTCTTCTCCCATGCATCCCATATCACTTCTTCCATGCATCTGATCACCAGCGCCCTTCTCTGCCCCCCCAAACCAAAAAAAACAACTACACAGTGTTTGGCGCCCTCGATGCAAGGAAACGCGTTTACTTTTTGTCTGTGAAACAACGAAGCACTTGTTTTTATGTTTTTGATTGTTTTGTTTTTTAGGCCCCCCCCCCCATGCTCGCCGCGGCCTCCCTCCCAGCACCCCTTTCTCTGCCTCCCAGAACCCCAGAAAAAAAAAGAAACAACAACAACAACAACAAAAAAATGGCGCCCTCGATGCAAGGAAACGCTGTGTATTGTTGGTTGTTTTTTTTTTGCGTTTGTGAAACAACCACACGCTGTGTATGTTTGGTTGTTTTTTTTGGTGTTGCAAGCCCCCGTGCTCGCCGCGGCCTCCCTCCCAGCACCCCTGCTCTGCCTCCCAAAACAAAGAGGAAAACAATCATGCACAATGTTTGGCGCCCTCGATGTAAGGAAACGCTGTGTGTTTGTTGTTGCTGCTGTTTGTGAAACAACGAAGCTCTGCGTTTGGTTGTTTCGTTTAGCTTTGGCTTTGCAAGCCCCCATGCTCGCCGCGGTCTCCCTGTCAGCACCCCTTTTTCTCTGCCTCCCAAAACCCGAAAACAACAGCAACACCAACAACACCAACACCAACAACACCACCACCACCACCAACAACAACAACACCAACAACACAAAACACAAAAACATACGCCGTGCTTCGTTGATGCACTGACCCAAACATTAAAACGAACCAAACATAAACAGCGTTGCCTTGTATCGAGGGCGCCAAACACTGTGTAGGTTTGGTGTTTCTTTGCTTTCGGAGGCAAAGAGAGGACTGAGGAGGATGAGGATTAGGAGGACGAAGAGGATGAAGAGGATGATGAGGCGGACGAGTAAAACGGAGGGCGGAAGCTGAGGGGTAGGAGAACGAGGAAGATGAGGATGAGGATGAGGATGATGAGGATGATGAGGATGATGAGGATGATGAGGATGAGGATGAGGATGAGGATGATGATGATGATGCTGATGATGATGATGATGATGATGATGATGTGCAGGACTAGGAAAAGGAGAGGGAAAAGGATAGGTAGGAGGAGTAGGAGGAGGAGCAATGAACAATGAACAATGCGCGGGGAGTCCAAATAAGTTACTTAAACCTCACACCATAAAACTGGCAGCGGACTCTACGCGACCCAACCTCGAGGGCGAGCGGGTCAACCTTTCAAAGGCTGGGGAAACCCCTCTGGCAGGACCAGGATTACCCCCGAACGACGGCGAACCTCGAGCACCGCGCCAGGAAGAGGAGCGAGTGAACTCTCATCTTTCGTCCTCCTCCATCCTCTCTCCTCTCTCCTCTCTCCTCCTCCTCCTCCTCCTCCTCCTCCTCCTCCATCATTTCTTCCACGCTGTCATCCTTTGAATGCGTACCTCAATGCTGCCCCTTGGGAAGGAGCGCAGGATGAAGATCATGACAGGGAGAAGGGACACGAGTAGCATGAGAGGGAGCAGGAGGAAGATGAGCAGGAGGAGGAAGAGAAAAATGATGAGGAGGATGCCCCTCCCCCCCAGGCTGTCGTTGGGGGGTGCATGTATAGTTGTACATATATATATATATATACACATACATACATAGGTATAGATAAGTTCGGAGGGGACCCACCAGAGCTTGTCATTCACCGACTGGGCTACGATCCACCCAGCCAGTGAGCCGTGACAGGGCCCCCCTCCCCAAATCCGAAAAACGAAACTGGGGCCGGGAGCTCCAGGTGGGGTTCAGGCTCGGGCCAGGCCTTGATATCCCTCGGGAGTCTCTCTTCCTCTTCCTCCTCCTCCTCCTCCCTCTCCTCCTCCTCCTCCTCCTCCTCTCCTCCGCCTCCGCCTCCGCCTCCGCCTCCGCCTCCTCCTCCTCCTCCTCCTCCTCCTCCTCCTCCTCCTCCTCCTCCTCCTCCTCCTCCTCCTCCTCCTCCTCCTCCTCCTCCTCCTCCTCCCCCCCCCTCCCCCTCCCCCTCCCCTCCTCCTCCTCCTCTCTCTCCTCCTCCTCCTCCTCCTCCTCCTCCTCCTCCTCCTCCTCCTCCTCCGCCTCCGCCTCCGCCTCCGCCTCCTCCTCCTCCTCCTCCTCCTCCTCCGCCTCCTCCTCCGCCCTTTTTTTTGGGGGGGGTCCCCCCCCGCGCGATGCGCAAGGCAACCGAAGCGCGCCTGCGCCGCTCAGAGGCCGTCGCCGACGTCGCCGTCGCAGTCCAGGAGGGTCACGTCCTCGTCATCAGGGTCGTGCTCGTCCTCGCTGCAGGGCGGCTCCCTCAGCCAGGCGTCCAGCCAGCTCGGTTCGACGAAGACCTTGCCCACCTCGCGGACACGAGGCGCGGAGACGGCGGCGTTCAGCAGCACGGCGTAGGTTATGACGGCGAACCACGCGACTCCGTTTACGAAGACGCCCGTCCAGCTGCGGTCGTCTTCCTCGACGGTGTCCGCGATGCTCTGCGGCACCCCGAGGGCGCACAGAAGCTTGACAGTCAGCCTGACAAGGGGCCTGTGCAAGAGAAGGGCGTACAGCGAGTTCCTCCCCAGCTCCGACAGGAGGCCGCGGCCGCGCGGGCAGATGAACACGAGCACCAGCAGGCCCTTGGACATGTCCCAGGTGAGTCGGAAGAGGCCCAGGAGCCAGAAGCTGAGCAGATCCTTCTGACTGCAATACTTCACGGCTGGCCAGTGGAAATCCGGCACGCTGGTGAGGAACAGCGCGAAGAATGAGTACGACTCAAGGGAGTACACCTCAAGCAACACCACGCAAGCGAGGAGCGCCGAACCCTGCGACCACGGGAGCAGCGACAACACCAGGTTGGTAGGGAAGACCTGCCCGAACATGTACACTGGGAACAGCACCATGGCCTGCCCCAGCGCGAACGGCGCATTCTCGGGGACCGCCGTGCCGCCCAGGACCGCGAGGGCACCGGCGATGACTAATCTCGCGCTGACCCTGTACGTGGAGACGAGGTGCGCCAGCACTCTCCAGACTATCAGGGCCTGCAGGTACCAGTATGGCTCGCTCTCGACTGTCACGACAAGGGAACTCCAGGCAGAGCAAATGTCCTCAAAGGCCGACTGTCTGCTGCTGGGTATCCACTGGTCGGGCCCGAGGAATAATTTGTCCAATGGCTGAATAAAGCAGCAGCCGCACACCAGCGGAGCTCCCAGTCGGACGAGCAAGGACTTCTCGCCGGTGGTCAGCGGCTTCCTCGACCACATGCCGCTGACAAAGCAGAACAGCCGCACGGCGGCGGGGTGCAGGAAGTGGGTCACTGCCTGCTGGTGCTCCAGCTCGGGCACCGGGAAGTCGCCTGGCCGCAGCTCGCTGCACACGATGACGCAGCACATCGTCAGGAATCCCACCAGCCCTTTAGGGCGTCGGTGGTTTAAGGAGTTTCCTCTTCCACCCTTCCTTCTTCCCCTTCGGGGAGGGGTTTACCCCTCCCCCTACCCCCTCCCCACTGACCTGGACAGGGGGTTCCGCGGCGCGTTGGAGCGCCCAAAACGGCCTCGGCGAGGAAGCCAAAATCATTGATTATACTATGGTTTCGGCCCCATTTTGGCCTTCTGAGGGGGGGGGCTGAAATTTAGGAACCCCCCTTCTTTGATCGATTTCCTCCACGATGGCCGCAAGAGGCCCCCAGGATGCCCCAAGAGGCCGCAGGATGGCCCCAAGATGGCCCCACGAGGCCCCCCAAGAGGCCCACCAAGAGGCCCCCAGGAGGCTTTTTTTTCCCTGGAGAAGCGCGAAAGCGCAGAGGCGGGAGCGACGGTGCGCGGTAAGGAGCCGCCCAATCCATGGGCGGCAGAAAAGGGGCTTCTCAAACGGAGAGACCCTCGAGCTCCCGAATCCGCCACCCATGAGGGTTAGAAGGACCTCTTGGTGGCGAAAACGGCACGAGCAGTCTTTGCCCGTTGCTGAGGGAGCATACCGAGGAGGAGAGCCGACAAGTTTTTGCGACCCCTCCTCGAAATGGGCTTGCATGGTTTCCCAAGTCCATCAGAGCGGACCCGAAGACTCCCATACAGGCCACAAGAAGAACAAAAAACAGTCCCTTGAACTCCATTATGAAGTTTGTGGGACGGGTGAATCTCCCGCCCACAAAACACCGTCGGCACAAGGACTCTCGACGACGTTCCTTGGCACTGGGTGTTGAGAAACTTTAACGCAAACTTACGCGCAGTACGTCCACCACGCACCGAGCATTACCAAAACGACCTGTGAGGATTCGGAATCTGGTGCTCGGTGAGACTGAGGGCTCGACTTAACTTTAGAGCGTCCCGCTCGGGCTTGGAGAGCTTAGTACGTTCAACCTTAGGCCGCGGCGGGGGAGGAGAGCGGTGGGAGGCACAACCAAGGAGAACAGTCGCCAAATGTTTCCTGACAACCGCCGCGACCTGATCAACGAACTGGATCCTGGCAACCTGCGCATACGGAAGCTGGGCCTCCTCGGCAAAACTCTCGGCCCGCTCATCCGCGCGCTGGTTGGCAAAAAATGGGCAAGAGGAAAACCTTGCTCCAGGGCTTCGGCCTGCGACAGGTGCGATTCAACCTTGAATGGCCGCGCGTCGAGCCCCGAGGAATTTCTGTACACCTCGTGGAAATGCAACCAATCAGAAACGTTGCTCGTGGGAAACTCCCCTCGAGCGATGGCGGAAAAACCTCGAATCACGTAAGCGCTGTCCGTCCCGAAATGTCTCTGTACACGAGCTGAGAGGGACTGAGTAGCTTGTAAGAAAGTGGTGAAAGCCCTGAGCTCTCCCCTATTGACAGACTGTTTGAGCTCCAACGGGCCTCCCCAAGACTGTGACTCAATGATCGGTTCACGTGCAAGGTGGGCGCCGTCTGGGAAAATAAGGGTTCACCACCCAATGCGGCGCAGACGTGGACCGGCTGAGTGGATCCCCCCGCTGGCATCACCAGCTCCGAACACCACCCCACTCCGAAACTCCGCCTCCGAGGTCGAGAGGGAGAGAGGTCGAGGAGAAGAGGATCATCTCTGGGGGGGCCCACTTCAACCCAAGATCCTGGCACGATGCCGCGGTGCCAGAAACAGGGTAATTCATCACAGTCGTGAAGCGCGCGGTCAATGACCGCTCTCGGGGCCACGCCCTCTAAAGAAACATTACATGGACACTCCCAGTGAGCGTGCCGTGGAGTCTCGGGTACCTCTTTGCATCTGGGACAAATAGGATCCGCCTCAGGAAAACACTCATGCACACGCTGCGCAGGCCACAGACTTCCTGTGGCGATGGCCTGGTGGATCCCAAAGAGAACGAACTCTACCTTCCGCTTGAGGCTCCTCAAGAACTTCCTCAAGGGTCCCAGGTCAGGGATCCCCTGGTCGAGACCCCGTCCAAGATACTCCTCAGCAGCCGCAGTCCAAAGTGACCGCTGGACAGACAAGGAGAAAACGTGTTTCAAATCAGAAAAGTCAAGGTCCCGAACCGCGTGCTTCTCAGGCGGGGCGAAAAACTCAATGCCATCTGGGCTCACCCATCTCCAAGGGCCTCGGGGCTCCCAGGAATAACGCAAAAGAAGACAGACAGTAGCAGAACAAATGCCCCAGACATGGTGAGACCAGGTGTGCTGCGGTCGGGCTGAAAAGTCTTTCACGATGCGAGCCCATGTCAACTCAATGAGCTTCCGTTCGACATTTGATGTGGCCAGGAAAAGCGCCCAAGAGTTGATGACATCCATGGCCGTGGAGATAGCGGGGTCGGTGGGGCCCATATCCAGCTGGAGCTGCGTGGTGAGCGAGCGCTGAGTGCTACCTTTGCGAATAATGCGACCAAGAGCTCTGCGCCAGCTTGTGAGGACCGAAGGTGGAGTACCGTAGAGCTTGCCTGCATAGGAGACGCAAGGGAGAGCGGCAGCAGTGGCAAGACGAAGCCCAATGCGGCGGTGGGCGAGGTACTCCTTCCAATACAAGCTATTCGATGAAACCTGAACTTCGTTTTGTCTACTCGCTTCTTGTGCTTGGTCTGCCCCATGCGGATGTTGCCTCGATCAAAACCCAGGTCCATCACTCGGCCATTAAAAGGTACAGTAAGCCCCAGCTGCTTCAAATTGGACTCTAAAGCCATGCCTGCCAGTGCCGAAGAGCTGAGAATAGTAGACTTAGGCGAGATAACAAGGTCTAACTCCTTGCAGTCATCACGGAGGATGGTGGCAATCTTCGTTAACTGAGCAACGGCAACCTTCTTGGGGGCGACAATGCGCGCGTTGACGTCGTCTACCCAAGATCTCACTGTGACCGAGCGATGCGCTTCACACATGCGTTCCAACGTACGATACAGAATCCAACGTGAGAGATCCACCGCGGAGCGCAGCCCAGCGACCATGGCCCGTTGGGGTAAGATAGGCTGCGAATAATGTCCAGATTCTTTAAGTACCCTGGGGGCGAAACACTGCTGCATAGTTAGAGCCAGCGTATGCGGAGGAAAACTCTTGTGCTCTGCCGTATTGATTAGAGCAATCCAGTCCAAAGAATCATAGAAAGCCTTGGGGTCCCAAAGAACTTCGATGTGGACAAGATCCTTGAGCGGGGACATCCTGACTGCCTCGTCGCCGAAGTTACGAAGCAGGACAACGCGAAGGGATGGCGACCAAGCGATGACCCCATCCCAGTGGCCAGCTGCCTGTCGGCACCAGTCTCGATCCAACGGGCTCCTGATGGCGCCCCAGATTCGGACCAAGAGTGATGCAACTCCGATCGCCCTGTCATTGTCAGCCGACTTGGGAAGCAAGCTGATGAAAACAGTGAACAGCTGCCATGGCCATGAGACACATCGCTCCACCTGATGGTAGATCTCCACCAAGTCCTGGATGGCGGAGTCGGGCAAGCGGCGCAGGTCAGTGATGCTGAGAGCCTCGCAACCCTTGGCCTTTTTAGGGGATAAGTTCTGCAAGATGGTTCTGACCTGTACTACAGTGATCGGCTCTAGGTCCGTGTCGGCCTTCTGACGGGCCTTCTCATACGCCATTAAGATCTTCGCCTTGTCGAAACGTCTGCTGGACCAAACTTTCTCCCACTGTTTCTTGGATGCCATGATGTCAAGAGGAGTTGCCAAGGTTCCCTGGACCACCCGAATCTCATTCAGGGTGACAGCAGGGTGACGGATGAAATCGTAGAGCTTGCCTGGGGTGGTGGAAGACATAATCAAAATCCAAGAGTCAAAACCACGTCTTGAAGCTGAAGCTGAGAAACGTTGAGCACGGACTGCATTGTTGGCCACCGTGGTCTTTGACTCCTCAAGCTGATCAAAACTGCATTCATGAACTCGGTGAAGAGTGGATGTCCACTTCCGACGGGCGGCGGCCGTGAGTGGGAGCGAAGCTGAGGTGGGCATAGTGAGGGCGAGCTCCTTGATGCGGGACTGAATGAAAGTGGTCTTGGGGGAATCCGCATGTTTCCTGAGCAAATCCTCGAAGAGGGCCAGAAGCACAGCCCACCACTTTGTCGCTGGATCCACCTGCACGGCGCACTGCCTAAAGGCCTTGGTGGGCGCCACACGGAAACGCCGAGCCTCAGCGCGCCCCACATATGCTCTGGCAGAATGCGGTGGGATCGCGAGCGTCTGAATAAAGAATTGTTCCAGAGCCGAGACCCAACGTCCGCACTGCTGCCCCATATGGAGCGCATCGAAAGACGAAACTTCGAAAGCCAGAGATCTGGAGATGAAATCCGCAGGCTGACCAGGAACCAGGTCTCTCGAAGAGAAGATTTCATTCCAAAGCTCGTCTCGAGGGCGTCTTGGAGCCTGGTCGGATCCATCCTGGAGGGAGGGTTCCTCTAAGGCCTCCTCGGGAAGGGTGGATCCTTCAACGTCTGCCATCGGGATACCGAGCGGCTCCTCCATCGAAGCTTGCTGTATCTCGGGGGGGGGGGGGGAGGGGGGGGGGTCCTCCTCGTACTCATTGGCGGAGGACTCTTCCTCCAGGTCAGCAAAGGTCAATATCGGAGGTGGTAGACCAGGAGGAGCGGGTCTGGCAGGCAGCTCAACCTCCACGGTAGCACTCCTCTGCGAACTTCTGGTCCTAGCTGCGGTTCTCCTGGAACGCTTGCTGTGCGGATCGGCAGACTTGGAAGGCAGCGGCTGATGAGTGAAAGGCTGCGGGAGCGAATGCAAAAGGGCTTGAGCCAGTGCCGCACGCGCTCGAATATCAACCTTGAGACCGAAGTGGGCTTTGCCAGCAACAGAATTGCGGGCCACCACCACGGACGTGTCAGCGGTCAAGCTGGAAATAAGCAGCCGAGCGTGGGGAGAGACAATGCCATAGTCCAACATTGCGCCTGACCCAATAGTGCAAGTGTAGCCCACGTCCGTGGGAACGACGGAGACGCCCCCCAGCATCGTGGGCCAGCCCGACTGCATGAGAGTAGAAGGAGGAACGTTCCAATCAGCGAAGATGGCCCACGGGATGTCCAGACTTTTGATGAAACTCCCGAGAATGGCCAGCTTCTGCAGGTTAACCCCTTTCAGGCCTATGCTGGAAGTCAAGTATGCTGAGACCAAACAGAGAGAGACCCCATGGATGTGCCAGACCACAGGGACAAAGTCAAAGAAGTCGATGTTTCCCTTGGTAGATGAGAGGTCCCGCATGCCAACCTGCTGGGACTGATTCAGGGCCAGGTGCCTGAACGAGGAAGTCATGAATGTGTTCTTGAACCCAAGCACTGCACCTCCAAGAAGAGCTGTTCTGTCCGTGGGCCGAGCAGGGGTACAAACCGCTTCGTAGCCGTTCTTGCTCCAATGCCGCAAGAGGTCATCTGAGTGTTCTGGGCCAGCATGCGTCTCCACCAAGAGGATGGCATCATACTGGCGCTGGTCAATGAGGCCCTTGGCAGAGGGGCCCCAAGTAGAAATATTCCGACAGTAGAGATGCCACGTCTTCTGATGGTCCGAGTAGAGAGGCCCAACCACTGGAATATAATGAGAAGATTTGTCGGATGATTTGAATAGCTCTGGAAAGTAATCTGGATGCTGCTTACCATCGTAAGTCACAGTGGAATGCCCACCAGCACCAGGTCGTCGTATGCGAGTGGAGAGCCTGACTGAGCCGTCAGGAGCTTGACTTCTGCTGCTGCTGCCTGCGGGCTTTCTCCTGCTCGAGAGCTGCGGTGGCCGCAGGAGTCGCAGCCGCTGAGGCGCCAGAATCAGCAGCGTCTTGTGAGCCCCGAGCGGCCTGTGCCTCATCGTCGGCTCCTGGTGGGGTAGCAGTCGGCCCATCATCTGCCCGACGGCGTTTAGCTGCGAGACGTTCCATCTGTTGCTGGTGAGCCGCCCGAGCTTTCTTAGCCTTGGCAGCAGCATCAGCGAAAAGCTTCTTCGCGCCGTCCTGGAGGCCCTTGACGAGAGCCTCGCGGCGCTCCTCAGCCTGGCGGAGTTCATCCTCCCCAAGACCCTCCTCGCCGCCCATGGCAAAGACATCTCCGAAATCAATGACGAAACCGTCGAGCTTGTCCTCCAAAAGAGCGGAGAGGGACAGCATGGGCTTGGGGTCGGGTGCCGTCGCAGTAGGGCGAACAGAGGCGGCGAGCTTGTCGTACTCCGCCTGGGGTTCATCCAGGTGGGACTTAAGCTCCTCCACGTGCGCCCAGTGGTGCTCCAAATCCTGTTGCCACTTGTGGTACTTGTCCATGGCCTTTTTGAGCTTGGCGTCCTGATGAGTGAGAGCCCAGCGAGCCTTGGAAAGGCGAGACTCCAAAGGTGGCTCAGGGGGAGGGCCCTTGTACAGCTCATCCAGCTCCCGCTGGCATGCCTGAGCCAAAGCTGTCTGGCCGCACTTGTTGGACGAGGCAAGCATGGCCACCAACTCAGAGCGCTCGAGCTGCGAGACATCGACTGGCTGAGCAACTGGAGGGGGGCCTCTGGCCCAGCTGGATTCTGGCACGAGAGAGTTCTTCGCATTGTGGGCGATATCCTTGGGCTTCCATTCGCCGCAATGCTTGCACCAAGCGAAGGATCCCAGGTTCTTCCCACATCCACAAGAAAGGCATTTCCACATGGGGCCTTTGTGACGGGGGCCCTTGGCGCCAACACGAACCCAGGGCTTGTAGGTCCAACTCCAATCTGCAGAAGAAACGTGATCAGCAGACGGAGCCATGGCGCCCGAGAGTACAGATAAGAAAGGGACGTAGTGGGAGGCGGGCCGAGGCCCTTCTTCTTCAAGAAAGAAACGCTGAATCGCCGAAAACCTCGTCTGACCAAGCAGCGAGGCGTGACTTTGGGGGCCGTCACTCCCCCGTGCCAGTGAGGTCAGGTCCTGTGCCAAAACACTCCGGACTGAGCCAGGAGGCCCCCAAGAGACCCCCAAGAGGCCCCAAGAGACCCCCCAGAGGCACCCAAGGTGCTCCCAGAGGCCCCAAGATGGCCCCAAGAGGCCCCAAGAGGCCCCCAGGAGGCCCCAAAGAGGATTCCGAACGGCCCACAGAGGCCCCCCCGAGGCGCCCAAGACGCCGAAAAGCCCCTCAGGACGACCCTCTACTCGCCTGGGCGTCGTTTCTGGACGGGCTGGTGGGGATACGCGAAGCGTCTAGAATTTCAGGTTGTCCACGACGTGAAGTCTCTGGACAGGCTCCGACGTGACGGCCTCCAGCTCGCCCCTGCCGGTGCACCACCGGACCCCGACGAAGATGCCAGACAGGAGCAGCATGAGCAGGCCCGCGATCACGCCGCCGAGGTACGATGTGAGCTCCTCCTTGGCGCAGGCAGTGACGATCATCGGCTCCCTCATGAAGACGCCCATGGCGCGCCTCCAGCCGCAGGGGCCGCCCGCGGCCCGGAGGCGCCCAGAGAGCCGGCACGCGGCGGCGGCCCTCCGTGTTCGCGCCCTGCGCCGCGCCCTGCGCCGCCCGCGGCCGCGGGGAGGCGAGCCCCGCCCCGCCGCAGCCACGGGCTTGAGCCAAAATGGCTACGGAACCCTCCGCCTCCTCCCCTTCCTCCTCCTCCTCCTCCTCCTCCTCCTCCTCCTCCTCCTGCTCCTCCTCCTCCTCCTCCTCCTCCTCCTCCTCCTCTCCTCCTCCTCTTCTCCTCCTCCTCCTCCTCCTCCTCCTCCTCCTCCTGCGCCTCCGCCTCCGCCTCCTCCTCCTCTTCCTCCTCCTTCCTCCGTCCTCTCTCCTCCTCCTCCTCCGTCCTGCTCACCTCCTCCTCTCCTCCTCCTCCTCCTTCCTCCTCCTCCTCCTCCTCCTCCTCCTCCTGCGCCTCCGCCTCCGCCTCCTCCTCTTCCTCCTCCTCCTCCTCCGTCCTGCTCTCCTCCTCCTCCTCCGTCCTGCTCAACCTCTCCTCCTCCTCCCTCCTCCTCCTCCTCCTCCTCCTCCTCCCCCCTCCTCCTCCCCCTCCTCCCCTCCTCCCCCTCCTCCCCCGCCTCCCCCTCCCCCCCCCCTCATCCCCCTCCCCCATCCCCTTCCCCTCCTCATCCTCCTCCTCCTCCTCCTCCTCCTCCTCCTCCTCCGCCTCCTCCTCCGCCTCCTCCTCGGCCCAAGAGCCCTGCAAGACGCCCCAAGAGGCCTCCACGAGCATTCCCAAGAGGGCCCCAAGACGAAACATAAGTGATTTCCCGTTGGTTCTTGGAGCATTTCGGCGTTCTCGCCTCTTCCGCTTCCCGACGCTCCAAGACGGCCCTTGAGGCCCTCCAGATCGCTCCGAGACGGCCAAAGAGAGTTCCAGGAGGGACCCAAAACGGCCCAAGAGGGCCCCAAGACGGCCCAAGACGCCTCCAAGGCGGCAAAGGGGCCCCCAAGACGGCTCCCCGAGGGTGCCCAAGACGAGGGACCAGAACGGACATTTCGAGCCCTCGGCCACGAGAGGCTCCCAGGAAGGACCAAGAGGCCCCGAGAGGCCCCTAAGAGGCCCCCAGGAAGCCCCGAGAGACCCCCAAGAGGCTCCCAAGAGGCCACCAAGAGTCCCAAGAGGCCCCTAAACTGTCCCCCAGAGGCCCCCGAGAGCGCTTCGAAGAGACCCCAAAAAGCATACATGAGGACTCTGACCACGTCAGCGTCGTCGTCGTCCTCGCCGCCGCCGCCGCCATCGTCGTCGTTCCCCTTCAGGGTCGGCGGCACCGGCTGCAAGGCCTTCGCAATCTGACATCCGACGACGGTTGGGGCCCTGAACCCTGTTTTTTTGCTGCTGCACTTTCCAAGCGGAATCGATCCGTGAGGGCCCGGACGGTCCCGAGGCCCGAAGTAAGGCAGATTCCCCCCAGCTGCGCAACAACTGCGGTGCCAGGACCTCAGGGAGCCAACCACCGAGTCTGAGCTCCTAGCCTCCCGGAAAGCAGAGAATCTAACAGGGCGGGGCCGTTCAGTACGTGCCCAGGGCCGCTCAGCCAGCGCCAACTGTGGGGGTCGGGGGCGGCTTGTCCTGCCTTGAGCGAACCTCCCTCGCCAGGGCAGGGCAGTTTACTACGTAGACGCCCGGGGCCGCTGGACCAACCCCAACTATGGGGATCGGGGCGGTGATCGAACCTCCCACGCCAGGGCAGGGCAGTTTGGTGCGTAGACGCCCCGGGCCGCTTAGCAAACGCCAGCCATAGGGGGCGGCTTGTCTAGGGAGACCAAGAGGTACCGTCACCGCTACTCCCCAGACCTCTCCGAGGGCGTGTCCTGAACAAGATTTCGAGGCGAATCTGGCGGTGGCGACGAGGGCGCCTCCTGGGAGACACAGGGAGGGGAAAACGGGCGAAGGGCAGCAGAGTATGGGTACCTCGTCCTCCTCGGACTGCCCTCCCTTGAGCGAACCTCCCGCGCAGGGCGCGCCTGCGCTCGCAGTCTGCGGCGGACAACGGGCCCCAGTGCAGCGAGAAGTCCCCCTCGCCGCCAGCCGCCGTGCGGCAGGCGCCGCTGCCGACCAGGCGGAAGCCGCCCCACACGCTGGGCGCCTCTCGGGGGGCGGAGGCCGCCGGCGCTGCTGCACCAGGAGGAGGAGGAGGAAGAAGAGGAGGAGGAGGAGGAGGAGGTAGGAGGGGAGGAGGAGGGAGGAGAGGAGGAAGGGGGAGCAGGGGACGAGGAGGAGGAGGAGGAGGAGGAGGAGGAGGGAGGAGGAGGAGGAGGCAAGGAGGAGGAGGGTGGAGGAGGAGGAGGGAGGGGGGGAGGAGGTGAGAGGGGGGAGAGGAGGAGGGAGGAGGAAGGTGAGCAGGACGAGGAGGAGGAGGAGGATGAGGAGAACGGAGGAGGAGGGGAGAGGAGAGGAGGAGAGGAGGAAGGGAGGACAGGGGAAGAGAGGAGGAGAGAGGAGGAGGAGGAGAGGAGAGGAGGAGGAGGAGGGAGGAAGGAGGAGGAAAGTAGCAGGAGAGTAGGAGGAGGAGGAGAGGAGGAGGGGAGGGGGAGGAGGAGGTTAGCCAGGACGGAGGAGGAGGAGGAGGGAATGAGCAGGGAAGGAGGAGGAGGAGGAGGAGAGTAGGAGGGGAGGAGGAGGAGGAGGAGAGGAGAGGAGGAGGAGGAGGGTAGGAGGAGGAGGAGGAGAGGGAGGAGGAGGAGGAGGAGGAGGGGGAGGGGAGGAGGAGAAGAAGGGGAAGGGAGGAGGAGGAGAGGAGGAGAGGAGGTGAGGAGGAGGAGGAGGAGGAGGAGGAGGAGGAGGAGGAGGAGGAGGAGGAGGGAGAAGGGAGGAGGAGGAGAGAGGAGGAGGGAGGAGGAGGAGGAGAGGAGGAGGAGATGATGATGAGGAGGAGAGTGAGGATGGGAGGAGGAGGAGGAATGAGGAGGAGGAAGGAGGAGGTATGAGGAGGAGAAGTAGGAGGAGGAGGAGAAGGAGGAGGAGGAGGAGGAGGAGGAGGGAGGAGGAGGAGGAGAAAGGAGGAGGAGGAGGAGAAAGGAGGAGCAGACGTCGCCGATCGAGGCTCGAGGCTCCGCGGCGCTGCGCGATGGTCGTATGTATCTCGCCCTCGTCGGGCCCGTTGGAGGTTCCTCGTTGTCGCGGCTGGACTTGAGCAGGGACCGACCGTCCCGGCATTCCTGCAGTCCTACCATGAAATGTTCTGAGAACCCAAAAATGTTCTAAGAACAAAAAACCCGATGTGACAAAACAAGACAGATAGCGAGAGAAATGTTCTAAGAACATTTCGTGGAGACCACAAAAGGTTCTTAGAACATTGTTTGGTAGGGCTATAGGTGGGCCAGGACGCTTCGCCACAGCTTGATGGACTCTCCCCCCTCCCGGGCTCCTGGGCGGCACTCGCCCCCTGGACGGGTCGGGTCCAGGGACCGACCCCTCTGGGCCGTCCGCCTGCGCGCCCGGCCGTCCTTCTCGCCATCGCGCCGGCCCCCCAGCCCCGCCGCGTCGCGACAGAAATGTCAGCGTCTTTGTTTTGTTCGGCTCTTCGATCTTCGACACTGGGCGGAAGGGGGGGGAGGGAAGGGGGGGGGTCTGGCTCCGGACCTCTGGTCAGTGCGACTGTTTGGAACCGTGCGTCCTCTGGGGGAGACCCCACCCGCTTGAAGCAGGCGCTCCAAACAGCTAAGATCTACTCCATGGGGGGGGGAGGAGGGTGCGAGGGGCCGCGCCGATCGGCAAAACAATGAAAAAACAACGATCACAATCACGGCGGCACGTCTTTTGCTGTTCCCGGCCTCCAGGAGCCCTCCCAGGGACAGTTCAGATTCGGGGCGGCGCGTAAAGGTGGGGCAGGGGAAGACGTGGGGTCAGGCGGAACATCGAGATGTGAACACCCAGGAGGCCGCGGCTTGCGTCCGTCGAAGCGACCCCCCTGCACTGAAAGGGGCGCGCGGGACAGCTGCGGGACAACCGCGGGACAGCCGAAGCAAAGCGGTCCGTCGGGCGGCATCGCCGCGGAACGCCGCGACACAGCCGCAGCATAACAGTCGAGGGCGGCTGCGCAGCGGCAGCACTGCTCTAGCACAGCGACGGGGTAGCAGAGTCGGAGCCTCCGACTCCAGGACACCAGATTGAAAAAAAACTGCACGTCAGAGGCATGGGCCGTCCAAGCGTCGCGAGCCGCGCCCCGCAGTGCGCGACGCGCGCCCATCCTCTCGCCATCGCGGCAGCGCCTCCAGACCCCGCCGCGAGGAGGAGGAGGGCGGGGGAGGGAGGAGGAGGAGGAGGAGGAGGAGGAGGAGGAGGATGAGGAGGAGGAGGCGTTGGATGATGGGGAGGAGGAGGAGAAGGAGGAGGAGGAGGAGGAGAAGGAGGAGAAGGAGGAGGAGGAGGAGGGGGACAGAAGCCACGGCGGCAATGTTTCTGTTGCTGCCTTCGGACTCTCGGGAATCCTTCTGCCAAGTCCCAGACCGACGGTCAAGGGCCGGCCCAGGATGAAAAGCCGGCCCCTGGGAGCGGGTCGAGACCTCCGGAAATCCGCACTGGGCTTTGTCGTCGGCGGCGAGGCAGAGCTGGCTGCACCAGCAATAGACCTAGACGAGGGCACCGACAAGCGAATTGGCCAGCATGCAAGAGTGAGTACAGTCATCGGCCTGACCCAAGGGACGATAAATAAGGAACGAGACCTCATTTTGTTCCACAAGTAACGCGCAAGGAACGATACATAACAAGTAACGCTTAAAGACGATCAATAACGCATGCAACACCAAGGAACGACCGAGCCCCTTTTGAAAAGTAGGTATTCCTTATTCAAGCCGGACCTTGTACAGTCCGTTGGTTATCCCACCCCAAATGGCCCCAATATCGCCTCCCGAACTGTGAGATGGCAACCGAGTCGGCCAATATGACCTCAAGAGAGCCCAAGATGGCGCCAAAGCGTCCTCAGGACGGTCCAGGATGTACCCGAGACGTCCCCAAATGGCCTCAAAATCGCTCAAGACAGCCCAAGAAGGCCCCAACAGGCCTCCAAGATAGCCCAAGAGGCCTCCAAGATAGCCCAAGCAGAGCGGGCGGCCGCGGGGGGAGGGAGGAGAAGAACAGGCCGCGGTAGGAGACACGACGTCGGGTGCCACGCGCGCTCGCGTCTCTGCGGGGCCGTCGCGGCCGCCATCGACGACGGCGGCGGCGACGCGCGGCGGCGACGGCCGTCGAGCGGCGGCGGCGGCGGCGACGGCTCGTCTTGGTCGTCTTCGTCGTCTTCGTCGTCGTCGTCGTCTTCTCGGTTTTCGGGAACTTTCGGGTGCCTCATGCGGTCGTCGGCGTTCGTCGATGACTGCTGGATGGCTGCTGGGTAGAGGCTTTTGAGGTCGTCGCCGTCGACCTCTTCCTCCTGCCCATCCCCACACCGATTCCGATTCCCATTCCTGCCTTCATGGTGCTGCTCCTCGTCGTCTACTCCCATCCCAACCCCCATCCCTATCCCCCCCATCCTGCTGCTGGCCCTTATCCCCCTCCACCTCCTCATCCTCCTCCTCCTTCTCCTCCCCCTCCTGCTTCACATGCCCACCCTCAACCCCATGCTTATCCTGCTGTTCCTCCTCCTCCTTCTCGTCCTCCTCCTCCTCCTCCTTCAGTCCTCCATCTCCTCCTCCTACTGTTCCTCATAAACCTGCAACATCGGCATCCCCCCCCCTGTTACTGAAGATCCTGCCCCGATACGGCATCATCATCACCACCACCACCACCACCATCATCATCATCATCATCATCATCGTCATCATCATCATCATCATCATCATCATCATCATCATCATCGTCATCGTCGTCGTCGTCACCATCATAATCATCATCATCATCACCACCACCACCACCATCATCATCATCATCATCATCATCATCATCATCATCATGGTCATGATCATGATCATCAGCATCGCCATCATCATCAGTA